CTACTCTGGAGTCTGAGACAGGAGAATCACTTGAACCCTGGAATAAGAGGCTACAGTGAGCCGTGATCATATCACTGCACTCCAGCCTGGGTAACAGAGCAAGATTCTGTCTTAAAAAACAAACAAACAAAAAAACACTTTTTATATATATTTTTTACTGTTATTCAGTTCTAAGTATTTCCATTATAATTTTTCTACCTATAAATTTTTCCATGTTTATAATTTTTTCCAAAAAAATTATTGTTACTAATTTCAAGGTTAACTATATTATGGTCCATACATTAGTAATTCTTTGAAATCTGTGGGGGTCTAGCTTTATGGCCTAGTTAATTTCTATAGATATTATATGTGAGCATGAAAAGAATGTGTTTTCACCAATTGTTGGATGTGGTGTTCCATGTTAGTGTGCTCAATCATTATTATGCTAGTTAAACTTCTGTGTCTTTATTTTGTCTCATTGTTCTATCAATTACTGAGAAAGGTGTTTTAATCTGAGAAAGATGGTGGATTTATCAGTTTGTCTATATATGCCACTTAGTTGAAAAAATTTTTTTCCACTTCCAATCATTTGCAATTACATTAAGTAAATTACATTTTTGGAGAATTTTCCAGTTCTTCTAACTCAACTGTTTGTTTTAAGTAAAGCATAAGTATCACATTGCCACATTCTACTCTTGAATTGCACCATAGGAGTCTCAGTGAAATTTATGAGATTGCTTTTGTTGTTGTTAATACATAATAAATATAAGAGCTGCCATTTATGAAGTACCCACTATGTGTCAAGCATTGTGATAGGTGCTTTATTTATAATTAAAGCCCTCTTCTCTCACATGATTGGGACAGATAGCTGGTTAGTTCATTGAAAAAATTGTTTAAAGAATTATTATGAAATGATACATGCTTTAAACATTTTATTTGAACTTAAATGTTTTTATGTGTATTTATTCAGCAATTTTTATGTATAATTTTGTTCAGTGCAGTTTAACTTTTTTCATGCATAAACCACATCTGTAGTGTGTAGTCAGGAATTTCTAGTTTCTGTTGATATAAATTGGAAGTAGAACCCAAAGAAATATTCAAAGCAATATGAGTGCATAATCATAGGTCTTTATTATTTTTAACCAAATTTTATAGTTATCCTGCTTATTTAACAGTTGTTTAACACTTCATGTTTAGTGAGACAAACTATATAATTATAGTAAAAATTATTATTGGCATAAACAGACTTGGGAATAAACCCATCTGACTCTTTATAAATATACAGTTCTAAACAGTGACAGCAAAAGCATTCAGTTACACTGGAGAGCAGCCATCTAGCTGGGAGCATTTAGTGTGAGTCATTAATATCTGTCCTTATTGTACAGAGGCAATGGAGAGAATCAATTGATCTGCTCTATCAGTTGAGTAGAGGTTATTTAAGAGTATCTATATTAGTAGTCCTTACAACAGCTTTGCAAGGAGGGGTATTTTCCTCGTTTTAGAAAGACATGATTTGCCCAAGATCCCACGGCTAGCTGAGGGATCCCACTGCTAGCTAAGGCCTGGACTTGGCTATTACTGAAACAGGACCAGGACCTGGCCTCAGTTATTTCAACTGGTCATTCCACAAAGCCATGAGACCTTTTATAATCTGCATGTGATTTAATCTCAGATTTACTTCATTTATTGTCCATTATCATAAATTAGTATCTAGGATTCTGCATTGGGAAATGTTTTCTTCTGGCCCCCTTAATTATTTTTTTTTCATGAAGGTTATTACTCACCATGCTTTCCAACCTCCCTTCCTGCTTTCTTCAGCTTTATCTGGATGCTCTCTCACCTTTGTCATCCGGTCACAGTTCACTTGGTTAGGTTAGCTTGTATCTGAACAAACAATTTCTAATTCTTGAAGAGGTACACTCCATCGCTACCTAGCAGCTTGGATTCTAAGCTATCATCTAGAAAGCAAAATCTTACTTATCATAGATGTGTTACCATTTGTTCATTTCTTAATTTCTTCATTCTTTTCAAAGCTACATCCTGTGCCTCTAACTCTTTTGATTTCCTCTCCATGACTAACTTGTATTTAGTGATTTTTTTTCTTCTAATGGTGCCATTCATTCCTAAATGAATCAGCACCAGTGAGATCACATTTAATGATCCTTGACACAGCTTTGATGAGATTCTCACACTTTCTAGATAGATGTTTCTAAAGAAAATGCATCTACTGATTAGCCACATTCAAGCAGAAGTTATCACCACCACCATCACTACCAAGTCTCTTATTTCCCAGGGGATTCACAAGTCACTGTTATTGGTTTGTGTTTCCTTTCCAGAAAGCCATGTCCACTGTTTCTGAAATAAGGACGGTAGCTATATAGAGCTCCAGTGGTGCAGAACTGGTATATGTCTCTGGCACTTCATTGTAGAGTCAGTCTGAGGATTTTCATACCTCTTGGCATTCTGTTGTATTTTCAGTTGGAATTCTAATCCTTAGAGATTCCTTTGATTAACTCTTAGCAAACTGCCTTAATAAACTGCCTGATCTCCCAGACTCCAATAGTTTACTTTTTAAACCACATTATTCTTTCATGGTCCAGTGTTTACTTCTCTGCAGGCATAGTGGGTTGTTAGCGTTAGCAGGTCCTTCCCTAGAAAGCAGACTCAGGAGAAAAAAACAACAAAAAAAGACATTAGCAGGGTCCCTATTATTCTGTTCCTAAACAGCTGATTGTAATCTGCTTAGAAAGCAAAGGAACTCTTGGGGAGTATTAGAGAAGCCCTCTTCTTTTTCACTTTCTGACCTCTTTCTTAAGGACAGATTAGCCTACTCTGAGCTGGACTTTGAGGGAACTGATTTACCAACCCTCTCTCCAAACCCGTATCTCGCAGACTTTTATGTTGCAGTAAGTAACCACTTCATCCCTCTAATTAGGCTGATCTCCTGGTACTCATACTTGATTCTTATCTTTTTCCTCATATCCTATATCTGATTTGTTTTCAAATCTTGCTTATTTTTCCTTCAAAACAGTATCCAGAATGTGATCCCTTCTCACTGCCTCCACCCCATGAGTGATTTAACTCCAGGAGGAGGCACGTGTGCCCATCTGTTGATCTCAGTTATGGGCCATCTAGCCTGGCTTTCCCATTGCTCATATGGAGCCTTGACCTAAGGGCAGATTAGGGAGAGAGGCTCCTTCATGGCCAGTTCTACCTGATTCCAATGAAAGTCCTAGTTGCAATCCAAGGTACAATGTCCGTTATGAAATTCATCCTGCAGACTAGTATGTCATTCTGAAAACAAACTCTCCTGTCTTTACTCAAATTTGAACCATTCTGTTTCAGGGCAAGGAGAAAAGAAAAATAGAGTTTGTTGTTGCATTATTCATTTGATTACATGGTAATATGCTAAGGACGTAAGAGACTCACTGCAGCACTGGTGATTCTATGGAGCTTAATGCACTTAATGTGTGGTCACTGTCCCTCAGAACAGCTCTCTACTGTACAAAGACAGCCAGCCCTAATATAGGGAAATGCAGTTACTGAAATATGGCTCATCACCAAAATGTTTATAGTTCCGTATACCATCAGAAAGACTAAGGTCTACAATTGTACTTGGAAAACTGGCTTTAAAAAAAAGATGTGACATTTATGTATTGGGACTGTTTAATTGCTTTACATGTACCAACTCACCTAATCTTCAAAACTATATCAAGTCAGGGCAAAGGCTAGACTTAACCCCATTTTACAAAGACAACTGATATACAGAGAAGCTGAAGAATGTGCTCAGGGTCACGTGGCTAGTGGCAGGTTCAGACCTAGTTTGATTCGCTCTAAAGTCCACACTCTTTAACCATTATGCAACACTGCCTCTTGATTTAAAGAGAAAATTGTACAAAACATTTCCTTCTCTCTTTTTCTTCCTCCTCTCGTTTTCAAACGCTCACATGTGTATAAACAGAAGATACTCAGCTGGCAAGGGTTGAGTCCTTTTCATGACAGCAGTTCTTGGGCCTTGACTCCTATTATCACTAACTTAATAGTATCTTGAGACTTTTCTCCTGTTGTCTCTCCTTTCTCTGGATCAAATCAAACAAGAAACAACAGGAAGTGAGAGGAGATACTGGAGGCTGGTCTCAAACTCCTGACCTCAGGTGATCACCCACCTCAGCTTCCCAAAGTCCTGGATTACAGGCATGAGCCACAGTGCCTGGCCTCTAGATATGTTTAGATACACAAATATTAACGTTTTATAATTGCCTATAGTATGCAGTGTAGTAACAGGCTGTACAGTTTTTCAGCCTAGGAGCAATAGGCTATATAATATAGCCTGGGTGTGGTGTAGACTGCATCACGTAGATTTGTATAAGTACACTGTGATGTTCACACAGTGATAAAATTGCCTAACGATGCATTTCTCAGAAAATATCCCTGTTAATACATGCTTATATATGAAATATTTCCTTTAAGGAAAATATTAGGTTTTTTAAAAGTTGTTTATGAAATGATTGTATGCATATTTGCTTTAACTTTCTCAAAGTGTACTCATTTTTAATGTATAGGATTAAAGTATCTCTTTTTAAAAGTGATTTTAAATATAATATAAAGTATGGCCAGCGTGGTAGCACTTGCCTGTAATCCCAGCACTTTGGGAGGCTGAGGCGGGCGGATCACCTGAGGTCAGGAGCCTGGCCAACATGGTGAAACCCCGTCTCTACTAAAAAATTAACCGAGCGTGTTGGTGGGCACCTGTAATGCCAGCTACTTGCGAGGCTGAGGCAGGAGAATCACTTGAACCCGGGAGGCGGAGGTTGCAGTGAGCCAAGATCGCACCACTGCCCTCCAGCCTGGGCGATAAAACGAGACTCCGTCTCAAAAAACAAAAAGACAAAAAGTACATGCACACTTGAGATTCTCTTGTACTAAAGGTTTTTAAATCTGCACATGAAGAGTATGATGTTATAGTTTGCTTATGTTATACATGTAATTAAGTCATACATTTTCTTAATTTGATATTTCAGAGGAAGAGTTTTGAAGAAAACCGGGCATAGGCTCAGCAAAACCAAACAGAAGAGGAACAGAAAAAGAAACAAAAAGCAGAACAGTCAGAATAAAATCATGGAGGAAGACTCATTAGAATTCTTAAGTGATCTTACACCAGATCAGGACCCATCTCAGAGTGAAGAGGAAGACATTGCAAAGACCAGAAGAGAATCAGAATATCCTTTCATTGGTGGTCTACAAAATGAAGTCAGAGATTTTGTGACTGGGTATAAAGAAAAAAGATGGAAAAATAAAGATCCTAAACACAGTTTCCAAAACGTTATGTCTATAGTTGAATTGGACAACATACCAAAGAATTACCTCTCTAAGGAAGGTGATAACTTGTTTGTAACTTTGTCACTGATGCCAGATGAAACCTCTGTTACTAGTCCAATAGTGACTCAAAACCTTTCCTGTGTAACAACCGATGACTGCTCTGGCATGAAGGTAGAAAAGCATATTAGAAATAGGCGTACCATAGCGTTAGACACCCAGGACCTTGCTGCGGAAACTTCATGCTCATTTATGAAGAAGAGAGAAATAGTAAATAAAAGTCTCCCACGTGAACCCGTTCTGTGCCATCAACGTGGAATCAGAGTGTCAGATAAAGTTTTAAGAGAGGAACAAGTGTATGCAATTAAAATCAGTCACTGGGTTTTTTTCACAATCAGTTTATCTGATGAAGATTTACAGCTGGGCTCTGACAGACAGCCCTATTTTGGTAGCTGGCCTGCAGGACCTCATAAGTGTATATGTGAACAGAGACCAAAGAAAGATAGCGCACGTAAGTTGACTGGTCCTGACAGCAGGGGGCAATGGATTCAATTGATCTTCACTTCGGTGGCAGCATCCGGACCAGGAAGCAGTCCAGAAATATTGACCGACAAACTACTGATAGGAAATGATGATTTTTCACCTCCACCTGAAACTATAGATTCATTCATAGAAACAAACCTCTTCAGAAGCTGCTTACCTCAACTGGATATACCAAAGAATGCCTTACAATCAACAAAAAATAAGAAAAGGATTTTCAATGTGGTACCAAATTTTAACTTATTAGGACAGAGTCATATCAGTGTAAAAGACGGGGAGAAATGTGACCTGTTAACAAAAAATCATGGACTAAAAATTACTTTGGGAGAAGAAAAAGATAGAATTTCAGAAAGGAACAGTGAAGAGGAGAATAAGCAAAAACTTATGACCTTTGATCATCATCCATTGTGGTTTTACCTTGATATTATGAAAGCTCCCCCTTTAAATATTGGTGGACAGCGTTATTCTCATTGCCTGTCATTTAACAGACTAAGGTGCTCTGCATCTTTATACAAAAATTATATTCCTTCTTTTGTGCTGCATAATATGTCTAGTATTTGGAAGGCATCTTTTACAAACAAGAAACTGTTTTTGACTTTCGAATCTCAGACAAGAGTAGGTAATAAACTAAATGATGCAGGGTTTATTACCCCAGAAATTTTACACAGTCATCCTGACACTTCGTGCTCTTTGGGAATCAGTTCTGATTTTCACTTTTTAAATGAAAGATTTGATGGAAAGCTGAAAAGATGGGAAGAACCTAAGCAATTACCAGCTGAGGACAACCAAGACTTAACAAGCACTCACTGTAGTTCCCTTGGGCTACCATTATCACAAGGGTTTGCCTTGCAACTAGTAAAGCTTTTTGGATCTCCAGGCGTTCCAATGGGTAAGTTGTTTTCTTTTGCTAAAAGTAAAAGATCCAGTTTAACATATGTAAGCAATTTTAGAGGTGTTTCTACCTGGTGGTTAGTGATCTCATGCAGCTTATTAATCTCGTGGTGCTTTTCAGCAGTGAGTGAGGACCCTTAGCAAACGGTGCTTGATCTTCAAAGTCCCCACCTTTTGCTGTCGGTAGTCTTCATGTCTCCTTCAATGTCTTTGAGAACGTAGAATACTTGGGCTCTCAATTTCAATAGATACTGGGAAGAATGGAGGATGAAGCGGGCAAAAAGGGATTATGTAATCCAGTAGAGATAGGCTGCTTTATTAATTTATTAATTTATGAGATGGAGTGTCACTCTGTCACCCAAGCTGGAATGCGGTGGCGCAATCTTGGCTCACTGCAAGCTCTGCCTCCCGGGTTCACGCCATTCTCCTGGCTTAGCCTCCCAAGTAGCTGGGACTACAGGGGCCCGCCACCATGCCCGGCTAATTTTTTTATATTTATAGTAGAGACGGTGTTTCACCGTGTTAGCCAGGATGGTCTCGATATCCTGACCCCGTGAGTCGCCCGCCTCGGCCTCCCAAAGTGCTAGGGTTACAGGCATGAGCCACCGCGCCCAGCCAGAGATAGGCTGCTTTAAAAAAAAAAAAGAAAGAAAGAGAACCTTTCTACTTTCTTTCTTTCTGTTTTTGAGGCGGAGTTTCACTCTTGTTGCCTAAGCTGGAGTGCAATGGTGCAATCTCGGCTCACTGCAACCTCCACCTCCCAGGTTCAAGCAATTCTGCTGCCTCAGCCTCCTGAGTAGCTGGGATTACAGGCGCCCGCCACCACGCCCAGTTAATTTTTGTATTTTTAATAGAGACGGGGTTTTACAATGTTGGCCAGGCTGGTCTGCAACTCCTGACCTCAGGTGATCCACCCACCTCAGCCTCCCAAAGTGCTGGGATTACAGGCCTGAACCACTGCTCCTGGCTGTAAAGAAACTTTCTACTTTCCACCTTTATTTTGTTTAACACATGGCTCTTTCCTTTCTCATTCACAATTATGGCTCCCAAATACAACATTAGTAAATGGGAGATTGCAAAGATTACATGAAGGAAAGATATCTGAAATAGCTGAATTTACTTTTTACAGGCAGTCTGGAAAGGATGCTGAAGGGATGAGGTGGAAGTCTGACTAGTTGACTTAAAAGGTTCCTTCAGGCTCTTAAGGTTGTTATTTTGGGGCTGGGTGTGGCAGCTCACACCTGTAATCCTAGCATTTTTGGAGGCCGAGGCGGGATGATCACTTGAGGTCAGGAATTTGAGACCAGTCTGGCTAACATGGTAAAAACATGCTCTACTAAAAATACAAAAACTAGCTGGGCATGCTGGCATGTGCCTGTAATCCTAGCTACTTAGGAGGCTGAGGCAGGAGAACCACTTGAACCTGGGAGGCAGAGGTCACAATGAGCAGAGATCACACCACTGCAATCCAGCCTGGGCGACAGAGTGAGACTCCATGTCAAAAAAAAAAAAAAAAAAAAAATTTATTTTTGGAAATGAAAAAAATCTACATGTGAATAAAACAAGCAAAAATATGATTTTTTAATATTCCACCTAAATTTCTTTTTGGGCCAGCCACAGTGGCTCATGCCTGTAATCCCAGCACTTTGGGAAGCTGAGACGGGTGGATCAGCTGAGGTCAGGAGTTCGAGACCAGCCTGGCCAACATGGTGAAACCCCATCTCTACTAAAAATACAAAAATTAGCCAGGAATTGTGGCATGTGCCTATAAACCTAGTTACTCGGGAGGCTGAGGCAGGATAATTGCTTGAATCTGGGAGACGGAGGTTACAGTGAGCTGAGATCGCACCACTGCACTCCAGCCTGGGCAATAGGGTAAGACTGTTTCAAAAAAAAAAAAAAAATTTTGTCTTCAATCATGAGCATATTTAAGATAATGTCTTTATGATATTTATCCCAACTTTTCCTTATCTGTAACTCAATAGCTGATACTTTCTAGTGTTCTTCCTTGGGAACAGAAGCTGTAAGACTCAAGAGGCCAAAGCTCCGATTTTTGTAGTTCTCCTGTATCTTCTGTTGTTCTATACTTCTCAGGATTCCTTGGGGACCTGTTCCATCTCAAAGCTTGTCACCCTGAGTTTTTTTACTTGGTTCCTAAGCTTCTGATGTTCCAGATAAATTTGGTCCCGCAGCTGAGACCAAAGATTGACTAAGTCCTAGGGCCAAGGAGTCATAATTATCAACCTGCTCTTGGGGCTCTGGCATCATATTTATCATATTTGTAAACTTTGTGAATAATTACATCTGGACTATTTGCTGTAATTTTTCTTTTTTCTCTTTTTTTTTTTTTTTTTTTTTTTTTGAGACGGACGCTCTGCCGCCCAGGCTAGAGTGCAGTGGTGAGATCTTGGCTCAGTGCAACCTCTGCCTCCCAGGTTCAAGCGATTCTCCTGCCTCAGCCTTCCAACTAAGTGGGAGTACAGGCACCTGCCACCGCACCCAGCTAATTTTTTTTTTCTTTTTGTATTTTAGTAGAGATGGGGTTTCACCATCTTGGCCAGGCTGGTCTCCAACTCCTGACCTTGTGATCCACCCACCTTGGCCTCCCAAAGTGCTGGGATTACAGGCGTGAGCCACCTCACCCAGTCTATGTGCTGTAATTTTTCTACCCACCTACATACACCAAAGAAACATACCAATTTTTTCAAAGTAAATGCATTTGCTTTGGGGCGCTCTAAGTGATAACTGAAGATGTTTTAAATCTGGGATCTTAGTCAAGGTCCATATTCTGAAATTGTATGTAAAATTTTGGGGGTTATTTTGTGCCATTTTTTGGGGGGAGATCCGTAGAGGGGTCTATGATGCAAAAAGATTAACAATCACTGCTTTAGAGAAGCACCAGAATGCATGAAGACACTATTGTGAAAAGATTCTATGCCTCCTCTTACCTTGAATGCACGATATCATCATAATCAACAATGATCAAGCATCTGCTAATTAAACTTCAGAAAGCTTTTTAAAGGAAATAGACCTCATTCATCAAATAGCTTACCTTCTAAATGGGGAGACAAGACTAACATAAAACAAAATTACTGCACATAGAAAATATAAATGATAAGCTTATGAATATTTTATGAGTGACATTAGTAGTGCTAAAAGGATTGTAGAAGAAAATTTGAGGTTATAGTTTTGTCTGGAATGCCCTCCATGTGGAAGTGCATTATAAGCACTGTTTATACAAGGGAGAAAGAATGTAGCTCAAAAGAAAAGCAGAGGGGAAGAATTTCATATTTGGAAATGGCATGTACTTGAAAGGGATAAAGAGGAAACCGTAAATAGAGGCTATGAAGCAATTTGTTTGGCTAGATTGGACGGGCCACGCTCATGGTCAGTGGCCTTGTAAATAAGGCAAGAACGCAAATGAATCCTAGTATTAGAGTCTGGTTAGTGTTTACTAATTGAGATCTGAGACAAACTCCAGCTTTAGACATCACCGAAATATCTTTAAAACCAGACTTTTAACAGTATGGTGGTTAGATACCAGGTTTGCATGTCTTCACAGTTAGGGTAAAAATCTGTGTGACATTAGAGATGAGATTAGTTCTTTCTTTTTTTCACAGAATCCTTGTTGCCTGATGACTATGTGGTTCCCCTTGACTGGAAGACACTAAAGATGATCTACTTGCAATGGAAGATATCAGTGGAGGTATATATATATATGTGTGTGTGTGTGTGTGTATGTATATATATATATATTTTTTGAGATGGAGTTTCACTTGTTGCCCACGCTGTAGTGCAGTGGCGCGATCTCTGCTCACCACAACCTCTGCCTCCTGGATTCAAGCGATTCTCCTGCCTCAGCCTCTCTAGTAGCTGGGATTACAGGCATGTGCCACCATACCCAGCTAAGTTTTTGTATTTTTAGTAGACACAGGGTTTCTCCATGTTGGTCAGGCTGGTCTCAAACTCCTGACCTCAGGTGATTCTCTTGGCTTGGCCTCCCAAAGTACTGGGATTACAGGCATGAACCACCACACCTGGCCAGTGGAGGTATATTTTTATGGCTTTCAAATAGAAACTGCTGTTCTATTCTCTACTTCTATGAGATTAACTTTTTAGATTTCACATGAGTGAAATCATGCAGTGTATATTTTTCTGTGTCTGGCTTATTTCAATTAACATAATTTCCAGGTTCATCCATGTTGTTGCAAATGACAGAATTTCTTTCTTTTTTATGGCTGAATATTATTCCATTGTACAAGCTGTAGTGTTCATTGCACAGCAGGGAGGGTGACTATAGTTAACTATAGTTAACAATCATGCATTCTATATTTCAAAATCACTAGAGGAGAGGATTTTGAATGTTCTGACTACAAAGAAATAATAAATATTTGAAGTCATATATATGCTGATTACCATGATTTGATCATTATACAATGTGCACACGTATCAAAACACATTGTGCTCATAAATATGTACAATTATTTTGTGTCATTAAAATTTTTTAAATTATGGAAAAAATAAAATTTATCAAACTTGAGAGAAGTGCTAGATACCTTAAATTAGAAAAAGAATATATATGGATGGGGATGAGTGGATAATACAGGCATGTTTCCTTTCAATTAGTCCCAAAGAGAAAGTTGCATGTAATTCCCTAACTTTGTGGAAGAATATACAGGCATAAGGACTCACTGGGGATGACTAAGGCACCCACTGTAGGAGAGTCCTTGATTCTTCATTGCATCTTTTCTCCTGTCCAGCCCTCAGTCTTATCCATTATGATAGAGTAACAGCTACCAATTAGATTTGCAGTTACTTGACTTGGAAGCACCTTCCTATTGTGATCTGTGGTCCACAGTGACAGACATGACTATTCTGAGGCCTGTTCATTTTCCAGGTAGCTGGAGGAGGACTGGCTTGGAAGGTTAGAAGGATGATAGAGAAACTGGAAAAGCCAGTACTTCACCTAACCTAGTGGGGGTGCCTGGGGTTCTGTTCACATTAGTTGGTTATTATTTCAATGTGTCCAGAGGCAATGCTAATGGGTGCATTTTGAAATGAATAGTAAAATCAAAATTTAGTGAATCATTACAAAACTAATAGTTCAGGACAGTAGGTATTTTTTAACTGTTCTCATAAACACCGTTATGGGAAAAGTAGACTCATTTTGTCTGTCCATTTAGTAAAACCAAATACATTTTTTCTCAACTTCTTGTTTCTCCTTTTTCCCCATGGAGACTTTATTGCTACTTAAAACACACATACACACACACACAGAACAATATTTTAAATGTTTAACTTGACATTTGTGGCCAGGCGTGGTGGCACATGCTGATAATCCCAGCATTTTGGGAGGCCAAATTGGGTGGATCGCTTGAGGTCAGGAGTTCGAGACCAGCCTGGCCAGCATAGTGAAATCCTGTCTCTACTAAAAACAAAAATATTAGCTGTGTGTGATGGCACTGGTCTGTAATCACAGCTACTTGGGAGGCTGAGGCAGGAGAATCAGTTGAGCCCAGGAGGCGAAGGTTGCAGTGAGCCAACATTGTGCCACTGCACTCCATCCTGAGCGACAGAGCAAAACTCTGTCTCAAAATAAATAAGTAAATAAATAGATATTTATGGTTATTATATTTCTTTCTTTCTTTCTTTCTTTTTTGAGACAGTCTCACACTCAACCCAGGCTGGAGTGCAGTGGCATGATGTCAGCCGAATACAACCTCTGACTCCCAGGTTCAGGAGATTCTCCTGCCTCAGCCTCCCAAGAAGCTGGGACTACAGGCATGTGCCACCACGCCCACCTAATTTTTGTATTTTTAGTAGAGACGGGGTTTTGCTGTGTTGGCGAGGCTGTTCTCAAACTCCTGACCTCAGGTGATCCACCCACCTCGGCCTCCCAAAGTGCTGAGATGGAGCCACTGTTATATTTCTTCTGCCATTTTAGGAGTGTCCCTACATGAGTAAAATGACAGTGCAAACTTAACTCCAATGCCAAATATTAATATTTTATGTATTTTATTAATATGTTATGTATTTTAATTATAATTTCTAGAAAAGACAGAAGATGGTTGAAAAATGAAAATTCCTTGAACCGTAAGTATGACCTATTCTAGAGACCTCTGTTTGATCATAAAATAGTTAATGTTGACGTTATTTGGTTGTAATAGCTCATATGTATTATAGCACGACTGGAGAGTAAAATATAAAAAATGAAGTTTGTTACCATAGCAACCTTGTGTGCTTATTGTACATGTGATGTTTTTGTTTCCTTTAAGTGTAGATCTTTTCTGAAATACAACAAAGCTTAGATTGTTGCTCCCAAATTTATTTTCCCACTTTACTGGTTAGAACATATTTTACAGCATTCTATCAATGCACAGTTTATGAGACATTTCCCCCCTTGGGTTGATACGTGACGAGGGCTGGGAATTAGGGGTGCAGGTTCTATTTAAATATTAGGTTATCTAGGAAAAGAGGTAAAACATATAGACAAGCTCATGTTATATTTTAAACTTGTCATCAAGCTGACATTAAAATAAACACATAGCCATTTTTTTCAAATGCCTAAATTATGAAATAAACACAGCTGCTACGATTTCAGTGCATGTATGTCTGCATCTGATAAGAATTGAATGCACTATGCACTTACTATATGGTTTTTTCATTTTAACTTATTTCTAAGAGTATTCTACTTTCCATTTCTCAACTAGAAATACATGTATACCCTGTAAAAATGGTTTTTATTTGTTTTAACCCTGCTTCCCCTGAAAGAAGAGGAAGAAGAACTGAAGATTTGGGAGAGGAGTTTAGAAATTTGCAGGGGTCACTAGAAAAATGTGGGATAAATATGGTACAGGAGGAGATAAGAGCCTATGAGGAATTCCAGAGCAAGGAAGTGAAGACCTTCATTCAATTATTCAGCAAATGTGGCCGGGTGTGGTGGCTTACATCTATAATCCCAGCACTTTGGGAGGCTGAGGCAGGCAGATCACCTGAAGTCAGGTGTTTGAGACCAGCCTAGCCAACATGGCAAAACCCCATTTCTACTAAAAATACAAAAATTAGCCAGGTGTGGTGGCAGGTGCTTGTAATCCTAGCTACTTGGGGGGCTGAGGCAAGAGAAACGCTTGAACCCGGGAGGCAGAGGTTGTGGTGAGCTGAGATCGCCCCACTGCACTCCAGCCTAGGCGACAGAGCGAGACTCTGCCTCAAAAAAAAAAAAAAAAACATTGTTCAGCAAATGTTTCTGGAGCTGCCTCATGTCAGACACTGAAGATATAGCAGTAAAAACACCCCTGCCCTCATGGAATTTGTGTTGTAGGGATTAGAGTTGACGCCATAGCATATTGGACAAGGACTTGGCTGAGTGAGCCTCTAGCCTACCTCTGACTGAAGTTAGAGTGAGTGAAGTTCCCCTAGATGGCCCCAACATGAGGAGACACCAGTACAAGCAGCATGCAACAAGCATGGATATATTTTGCTGTGGCCAATTTCAGGAGTCTTTTCCATCTGCTAAAATTGGTAGCTTTGTGTCAGGGACACTTTTGCGACCATTTTGATTTTCATGTTGATCTCCCACATGTATTCTTAACTGTCAGGACTTCTCACAGAGCATTCTGCCCTTAATTATTATTTTTTTTTCTTTTTAGGGAATTTTATGAGTGCTGTAGCTATGTGCAGATTTTTTTACAACTTTATTGAGAAGGGCATCCTGTTTTGTGTTTGGCATTAAGTACTGACTGACCAGTCTGTCTCAAGGGGTAAACAGAAATTTAGAACGAGGGAAATAGCAGGAGAATCTGGTTGGCTCTGGGAGCCACAAGTCAGTGCCCATTTACAAATATTCTCTCTGCTGGTTGCCAGGGTGTTTAATGTCATGGTACTCCTTTATGGCAGTGGGGCAGGGTGCCAGGAAGAGGATGGGTCCCCATCTTAAGGCTCCTCCTGACTGTGTGTGACCCTAAGCAGAGGACCCTTCTCAGAGTCTCAGTTTCTTCATTTGTAAAATATTTATCTTTTAAATGAGGATTAAATGAAATTACTTTGCAAAGTTATTAAATGAAAAAACTGGCCAGGTGTGGTGGCTCACGCCTGTAATCCTAGCACTTTGGGAGGCCGAGGTGGGTGGATTGCCTGAGCTCAGGAGTTAGAGACCAGCCCAGGCAACACAGTGAAACCCTGTCTCTACTAAAATACAAAAAAAAAAAAAAAAAAAAAAAAAGGAATTAGCTGGGCATGGTGGCATGACCTGTAATCCCAGCTACTCGGGAGGCTGAGGCAGGAGAATTGCTTGAACCCAGGAGGCGGAGGCTGCAGAGAGCTGAGATCGCACCACTGCATTCCAGCCTGGGTGACAGAGCAAGACTCCATCTCTACAAAAAAAACGACAACAAAAAACAAAAAACTGTGCAAAGTATGGGGCCTAATGCCTGAAAAATATTAGACTCTTAATAAGAGTTAATTCCCTTCCCCTAAATACTGCCTTGGATTAAAGCATTGCCTTTCTTTTTCCCTCCCTCCCTCCCTCCCTTCCTCCTTTCCTCCTTTCCTCCCTCCCTTCCTCCCTCCCTCCCTCCCTCCCTCCTTTCCTCCCTCCCTCCCTCCCTCCTTTCCTCCCTCCCTCCCTCCCTCCCTCCTTTCCTCCCTTCCTTCCTTCCTTTTTTGAGATGGGGTCTCACTCTTGTTGCCCAGGCTGGAGTGCAGTGGTGCAATCTCGGCTCACTGCAACCTCTGCCTTCCTGGGTTCAAGCGATTCTCCACCTCGGCCTCCCGAGTTGCTGGGATTTCAGGCGCCTGCCACCATGCCCAGCTAATTTTTTTTGTATTTTTAGTAGAGACGGGGTTTCATCATGTTGGTTAGGCTGGTCTCAAACTCCTGACCTCGTGATTTTCCTGCCTTGGCCTCCCAAAGTGCTGGGATTACAGGCATGAGCTACCGTGCCCAGCCTTTATTATTATTATTGTTGTTTTTGAGATGGAGTCTTGCTCTGTAGCCCAGGCTGGAGTACAGTGGCTCACTGCAACCTCCACCTCCCAGGTTCAAGCGATTTTCCTATTTCAGCCTCCTGAGCAGCTGGGATTATGGCCCGCCACCATACCCAGCTAATTTTTGTATTTTTATTATTTTAGAGACAGGGTTTTGCCATGTTGGCCAGGCTGGTCTTGAACTCCTGACCTCAAGTGATCTGCCCACCTCGGCCTCCCAAAATGCTGGGATTACAGGCATGAGCCACCATGCCCGGCCAAAACATTGCCTTTGAAATGCTCTCTGGCAAAATAGAAATTGTGTTCTTTAGGAGAGGAACATATTGGCCCAGTAAACATGTTAACACATTTGCATGAATTAGTGCATTTGTTTTTAATTTTTTGTAATGTACATAGCTGGATCCTCAGGGAATGGGATCTAGAACAAATTTCAGCTGAAGGACAGGGAGTTGGGAAATGTCAGGGAACAGGATCTTGAATGAGGCAGGACTAAGCAGTGTGGACTATGGGGACAGTTGTGAAGTCCTGGATGCCAGGAGAGTGGCATAGCTCAGGAAGTAAAGACTGGGAACCTGAAAACAAACTCTGTTCATGTCACATGTTTTCTGGTCTTGTCTGGGCTTGTGTTTGCTTGTAGTTGACTTCTGCTGTCTTCATGGTACTGCTGAAGATCGTGATCATGGAGAAAAGTCAGAGTGCCCAGCGCCAACCCAAGGGATTCTTTCCAGAGACATACCCGTTGGATACCAAAATTAGTTTGGATAATCTGTCCAACCATTCTCGATAAGTTATCTGAATAATAAAAAAAACTCAACAGAGGAGGTAACAATTTAAACATTTTATTGTCTAATTTCTAGATGTTTACCATACTTTATAATTTGATAGAAGAAAATAAGGCACAGAAAACTTGAGTACCTTATTTTAAAAACTGCATTAGGATTAAAAGGTTAGCCCCTATATCAAAGTATTGGTCTAGAAATGATCCCATTTCTAGAATTCTGAAATCCAAAAAGCTCTGAAAATCGAAAGTTATTTTTCCAAATGTGTTCACTGTGGTAAAATACACAAATATAAAATTTACCATCTTAACTGCTTTTAAGTGTGTTATAAATACATTCATGCTACCATCGCTAGCATCCATCCCCAGAACTCTTTTCACCTTGCAAAACTGCAGTTCTATCCCCATTAAACAATGACCCATTCCCGGCCGGGTGCGGTGGCTCACGCCTGTAATCCCAGCACTTTGGGAGGCCAAGACGGGCGGATCACGAGGTCAGGAGATCGAGACCATCCTGGCTAACACGGTGAAACCCCGTCTCTACTAAAAAATACAGAAAACTAGCCAGGCGAGGTGGCGGACGCCTGTAGTCCCAGCTACTGGGGAGGCTGAGGCAGGAGAATGGCATGAACCCGGGAGGCGGAGCTTGCAGTGGGCTGAGATCCGGCCACTGCACTCCAGCCTGGGCGACAGAGCAAGACTCCATCTCAAAAAAAAAAAAAAAAAAAAAAAGACCCATTCCCTCTTCCCCCTTTCCCTCAGCCCCTGGCAACCACTGTTTCTGTTTTTAAAATAAGTTTGACATTAAAACTAAGTTTACAGCCAAACCTGACCCAAATATGAGCTGGGCACAGTGGCTCATGCCTGTAATCCCAGCACTTTGGGAGGCTGAGGCAGGAGGATCACTTGAGCCCAGGAGTTTGAGACCAGCCTGGCCAACATGGTGAAACCCAATCTTTACAAAAAATACAAAAATTAGCCAGGTGTGGTGGCACAGCCTGTAGCCCCACCTACTCAGGAGGCTGAGGCAGGGGTGATCGCTTGAGCACGAGAGGCAGAGATTGTAGTGAGCCAAGAGAAAAAAAAAACCTGACCCAAAAATGTAGGCAATTAATTTTACTCCTTATTTATCCCACTTGGAATGTATAAAGTATATTCATATATTTCACTGTAGACATATTAATGTGTTTAACTACCGAGGTCTGCACCACACCCCACTGGGAATATAGGATAATATACAGTACTATTACCTTTAAACAACACACACTTTCTGAATTCTGAAGTATATCTGACCTCTAGAATTTTGGTTAGGGATTGTGGGACTTGTACTATACTATAAGTTACTAATATTATTTTTTATTCTGTTTTAGTTTAGTTGTACTTAATAAACTTAAAATATGAAAATTCATATTTACAAAATATAAATTAAGGAGTGACTACTCACTATTCAACATGTAGACATCAACTTAATCTCCATTTGCAGAAAGGGAGCCCGGGGACTTATCTTACCCTACTTCTCCCAGATCGTCGATCTAATCTTCTCAGAGGAGCAAACCTCTAGGCCTGGGGAGGGGAAGGCAACTGCTTAGGGTGTGGACATTCGTTTGTTAAACAGACTTTACACTGCCCTTCTGGTTTACAGCCCCGCCTCCAAACTTTCCAGTTTTGGAGATTTAGGGTTTATGCTGGGTAATTTGTGTTGTTTCTTGGCTGTCTATAAATCAGGATTTTTTTTTTTTTTTTTTGGCCAAATCAATTAACACCTGGCCTTTTGCTCTCCAGTTTCCAAAATTTTGTTGCTGTGATCTCTCTCTCTTCATGCTTAAAAGAAAAATAGTAACAAAACAACCAACTCTGCTAAAAAAAAAAAATAAGCCAAACTAACCCCCTTTACATTCTAGCAGGGTTTCAAAGAGGAAGGAGAAATTGAATACTTGTGTTTAATCCATCATCTTTATTGGGAATTTAGTGCTGCACTTAAGATATCTCAGTGTTTTCCTTATGTTCATTTCGTAGTTTTCTGTTTATGTTTCTTCACTAAACTTGCTCTGTTGCCCAGGCTGGAGTGCAGTGGTGCAATCATAGCTCACTACAGCTTGGAACTCCTCAGCTCAAGTGATCCTCCCATCTCAGCCTCCCCAGTCTGGGATCATAGATGTGTGCCACAATGCCTAATTTTTAACTTTTTAAAATAGAGATGGGGTTGTGATGGTTAATACGGAGTGTCAACTCGATTGGATTGAAGGATGCAAAGAATTGATCCTGGGTGTATCTATGAGGGTGATACCAAAGGAGATTAACATTTGAGTCAGTGGGCTAGGAAAGGCAGACCCATCTTTAATCTGAGTGGGCACAATCTAATCAGCTACCAGTGTGGCCAGAATATAAAACGGGCAGAAAAATGTGTAAAAGCTAGACTAGCTTAGCCTCCCAGCCTACATCTTTCTCCCACACTGGATGCTTCCCGCCCTTGAACACTGGACCCAAGTTCTTCAGTTTTGGGACTCAGACTGGCTTCCTTGCTCCTCAGCTTGCAGATGGCCTGTTGTGGGACCTTGTGATCGTTTGAGTTAATACTACCTAATAAACTCCATATCTATCTATCATCTATCTATCTATCTATCTATCTATCTATCTATCTATCTATCTATCCATCCATCCATCCATCCATCCATCCATCTTTCTATCCATCCATCCATCCATCCATCCATCCTATCAGTTCTGTCTCTCTAGAGAACCCTGACTAATACAGTAATCTTGCTGTGTTGCCCTGGCAGGTCTCAAACTCCTGGCCTCAAGTGATCCTCCTGCCACAGCCTTCCAAGGTTCTGGGATTACAGACCTGAGGCACCATGCCTGGCCACTGATTGATTGCTAAGCATTCCAAGTCCAGGGTTATTTGGAGCTCTAGGTTTGAGGGTTATATTCCTGGTTTCTACTAGCTCTTCCTTCATACCTTCTTACTTTTCCACATCTTGTTAAACAGTGATAGTTAGAGAAAAATTTCAATGTTTCTTCATTGCCAAAAACGGTGTTTATGGCCAGGTGCGGTGGCTCACGACTGTAATCCCAGGACTTTGGGAGGCCAAGGCGGGCAGATCACAAGGTCAGGAGATTGAGACCATCCTTGCTAACACGGTGAAACTTTGTCTCTACTAAAAATACAAAAAAATTAGCTGGGCGTGGTGGCGGGCGCCTGTAGTCCCTACTCAGGAGGCTAAGGCAGGAGAATGGTGTGAACCCAGGAGGTGGAGCTTGCAGTGAGCTGAGGTAGCACCACTGCACTCCACCCTGGGTGACAGAGCGAGACTCCATCTCAAAAAAACAAAACAAAACAAAACAAAAATAGTGTTTATAAGATTATTTTCTTTATGTCCATGATAGTAATGGTTTCTAGTGTAGCAAAGTGAGATCGTGCTGGCTCTGTTTATGATACTCCTTTACATTATCACTATCTTCTTCAGCCATTTATTTTATTTAGAGGTGGAGTTTCACTCTTGTTGTCCAGGCTGGAGTGCAATGGCATGATCTCGGCTCACCGCAACCTCTGCCTCCCGAGTTCAAGCAATTCTCCTGCCTCAGCCTCCTGAGTAGCTGGGATTACAGGCATGTGCCACCATGCCTGACTAATTTTGTATTTTTAGTAGAGATGGGGTTTCTCCATGTTGGTCAGGCTGGTCTGGAACTCCCGACCTCAGGTGATCAGCCTGCCTTGGCCTCCCAAAGTGCTGGGATTACAGGCACGAGCCACCGCACTCAGCCTGTTCAGCCTTAATTTTTAGTAAATCCCAAACTCAGGATTAGCTTTTAAGAAAATAGTTGAGGTTCATATACAATTATCAAGCACCTTCTGAATGTCAGGCCGATATTGTGGTACAGCCTGGGCTGGCAAGGATAAATAAGACACTCTCCTTGCCCTCTCACTGCCTCTAGTGAGAGGAAACAGATACCCAAACAGTTTACTTTAAGCTGTGGTTTTGAGGAATACATTGGGGAAAATAAGAGTTTGTTGACTAGTTAAATGTCAACTAAAGAAAAGTGAAAGGAAAGTGTGTAGGATTGTCTCCAGGTACTGCTGACTCCCTCCCTGGGCTTCCCTGCATCTTTCAGCGTTCTGTTTACTTGTTGGTCATTCAATCATCCTCTCCTTTGCTAGATCCACTTGAGGGCACAGTCCTTAAATGCTGGTGTCCTCAGGACCCCTTCCTCAGCTGTCTGCTCTCTTCTCTATCTCCTTCTCATAGGAGCAAGGATTTCCAAAGCTCTGAGCTCAGCCCCCTCTCCTAAGGAGCACACTCATGTTTCCTGGCATGTTAGATAGCTCCATTTGCCACAGGGCTGAAACCCCTGCCCACAAAGCTGCGTGTCTTCCTGCGGCTGCTGCCTGGGACCTCTTAACAAAGAGGGAAATGGAAGTGGATGGATGCTTATGCAGCCCTGTCCAGTAGGAATACAATGCCAGCCACGCATGTAACTTAAACTTTCTAGTAGCCACAATAGAAGATAAAAATAAATGAAATTAATTCTCATAATCTATTAACCCAATATACCCAGCATACCATTTCAACATATAACCAATATAAAAAATTTTTAGTATTTCTGTTTTCATACTGAATCTTCAAAATTCAGTGTGTATTTTTAAAATTTTACTTTATGTTTTTTAGGAGACAGGGTCTTGCTCTGTTGCCCAGGCTCAAGTACAGTGGTACTATCATAGCTCACTGCAGTCTCAAACTCCCTGGCTCAACTGATGCTCCCACTTCAGCCCCCTGAGGAGGTAGGACTACAGGCACACACCACCATACCTGGCTAATTTTTGAATTTTTGGTAGAGACAGGGTCTCACTATGTTGCCCAGGCTGGTCTCAAACTCCTGGTGATCCTCCTGCCTTGGCCTCCCAAAGTGCTGGGATTACGAGTGTGAGCCACTGCATCGGGCCCAGGCACAGCGTGTTTGCAGTAGCCACATTCCAAGTGCTCACTAGCCACATGTGACCAGTGGCCCCCATATTAGCCAGTGCAGGTTAAAATGAAAAAGGTAGCATGCGAGGCTGGGCAAAACATTCCTGTAAGAAGTATGATAGGATACAGAGATTGTGTCACTATTTTTATGATTCATGTATATTTTCTGTTCCTTATGGGTTCCCTCCTAATATTTAGAGGTCTTTGAAATTCCATTGTTTCTTAGCAGTGCTGAGAAGAATGAAGAAAGTCTTCTTCTTCCGTACTGGGAATGGATTTTCAAGGGAGAGCAGCTCATCTCCCACTCCGCCCTACCCCACCCCTAGAAATCCCAAGGGGAAAGGGAAATGCTCAGCACAGAGCCCCTCCCCACTTGGACAGTCCCTTCCTAAAAGCTAACTGTGAAATCTCTGGATTTTGTTTTAGAAGGAAATCACACTTTTTTCATACTTTCTTTTCACAATTTTAGTATCTCAGCTGCCAGAAATAGAATTTATTCCTTTACAATAATTATTATAGCCAAAGCCACCATATATTCTGGATTTGCCAGGATGGTGTCAATTTTGAATGTTGTTTCTTTCAGGCAGGCATGGTGAATTTTGGTTCAGAAAACAGGATCACTCTATCACGCTCTTGAGGGTGAACTATTGGAGAGTCACTGTGGTGATCAACCAATGGGTGCTCCCTAGTTCCTGGAACTGAGAACTTAAGTCTGGATACTTCTCTATAAATGGTTTTGGTAGACTCTGCCACTTTCCCCTGGGATCTGAGTTCTCCAAGAAGCCCCCCCACTTCTCAGGTGGCAACAGGGCAGGTACCTGGGCGGTAGCCCTTATGCTACTGTTCATAAATCAATCTGAGTTTTATGGGTGCTTTTTCTGAGGAAGAAGAGATTCAAAGTTATGTAGAGGCAACAAAGCTTTCTAATAATATTTTTGGCAGGCTGCTAAAGAAAGATGAAACAAGAAAAGATACAGGCCCTGGGAGAGTGGTGGTAGCCCTTGGGATGCCAGCCAGATGTTGGTGCCCACAAATCGGGGAAGACAATGGCCTTTACTGTTGCCATTTACAATGCCGGGCAGCTCATTAATCATCAACTAAAATGATTTCACTTTCAGGGTTTAGGCAGGTCAGGGCTGGGGTTGGGGAGGGCTGTGGCAGGAGGCCTGGCTTCCAGGCTGGGCAAGTGTCCCAGAGACCCACTAGACGGGGCCCCTCCCCTCCCCTCCCTCAGGATGAAGGGCACCAGGAGACAGAGCGGGGGTCGAGGTGAGGGTGGGTGCGTCACCCTTGTTTTCCGGACTGTCAGTCTCCCAGCGTCCCCAGCTTTCCAGGTAGGGACGCCCCCTCCCACGCAGCGCGGTTCCGGCGGGTGGAAAGGAGGGGCTGGGCTCCCAGCGCCCGCCCCTCTATCCATCACATGGCCGGAGAGTCACAAAAACAACAGCTTTGGCCAAGACCGTGACTTCAGGAAAGGGAACCCGGGGCTCTCGCAGCCAGCCCTCCTGCCCATGGAGGACAGTTTCCTTCAATCTTTTGGGAGGCTGAGCCTCCAGCAGCAGCAACAGCAGCAGCAGCAGCAGCGGCAGCGGCCGCCCCGGCCGCCCCCGCGGGGGACACCTCCGCGCCGCCACAGCTTTAGGAAACACCTCTACCTCCTGCGAGGCCTCCCGGGCTCCGGGAAAACTACACTGGCCAGGTAATGACAGCGGTCTGGGCGCCAGTGCGCGGGCCCGGGGCCACCAAGCGCCCCGGCCGAGCGCGCCCCTGCCCCAAGCCGCTCCCGGGCGCCGCTTGCGCCCCCGCCGCGGGCGCCTGCCCCGGTCCCGGCCCCAGCCCCAGTCCGTGCCTGAGTCTGGCAGCGCGGGGAGCCCGAGCCGCCTCCTTCGACCCCTGAGGCCGCTGCCACCCCTGGCGCCTGGGGGCGCGGGCACGGAGAGGAGGGCGCTCGTCCTGTTTCCCGCCGCGCTGTCCCGGGGGGACGGATTCCCGGTACTGCGCCTCGCGCAAGCCCCGGCCCTTTCCCCGCCGCCGTGCCCCGCCTGGGGCCACCCGGGCCGAGGCAGCCTTCGCCGCCCCCAGCCCCGGGTCGGGAGGGACTCTTCTTCGGGAAAACCTGGTGACGACTGCAGAGAAAACCGCCGGGCCCCGCTGGCGCGCAGGCGGCTGCCACAGTGCGTCAACAGGCGCTGTAACCCGAGCGGATAAACGAGGGGTCCGGGGGCGGGGGCCCGGGGCGGCCGTGGCCGTGGCCCGGGGCTGGCGGCCCGCTTTGAAAATCTGGCGAAGTCGGGCAGCCTGCGTTTGCTTTGGCAGCTGCGAAGGCGCACAGGTGCACGGGGGATGGGGGGCTGGCGGCGCCACCACCGACCGTCATTGACAGAGCCTCGCCATGGGCACCCAAATTCGTTCACTTGCGAATTGCGTAAGCGGCTCTCCCTGTACCTAGCTGCTGGGAATTACGCGGGCTCGTGCCTGCGGCCACCTTGCTAGGCCCCACCGCTCCAGCCTGAACTCCCACCGCTCCCTGCCTTGCGCTTGATGTTCCAGCAACTTCGAACTGTTTTTTATCTCCTGTAAACAAAGCCGCTTCTCTCCCTGACGCTGGCCTTCCTGCCTGGCTTGCCCTCCCGCCTTCTTTTGCCTTTTAAGACCGGGCATCTACCCCACCCCTCCAGTAGATGCCCCTCTTCTGGGCTCCTTGGCTTCCTGTTTACAACTACGTGACTGCGCTTACTTTTTTGCACATGGTTTTGCTTATCCTTCTGTAAGTTTCTTGAAGGTAGGAGCCATGCCTTACCCTGCCAAGCACATTGTCTGGCACGTAGTTGTTCAACAGAGGAAGTGGTCCCTTTCCCTCAAAGGGCTTCCCGTCTCACTGGAGAGACAAGGCTAGCCATGGGACCAAGGAACTGCCGAAGAATCAAGGTGATGGACAGTCACGTGCGAATTTCGATGGTGCCGAGATAGTGACTTTAGGAGGAGGGACAGTCTGGGGAGGTGCTTCTGGTTGACTTGCGGAGTTGAAGCCTTTGGCCAGAGTATTGCTACATTTTCACAAATTGTAGGGCCATGTGACTTGTGAAGGACCGTGGGCACCCTTTCCTAAACCAGAGACACATTTCAATAGACCCTCTCTGGCTCACTGGGGAGGGGAGGTGGAGGACAGAGGCAGAATCGGGGAGCCTCCTTGGAAGCCAGCAGAGGTTGGTTATTTTGTGATAGTCATGGTGGGTAAATCCGTTACCAACCAAGTATCTTCTGAATGTCAAATCCTGTTTAATTTCACTTTCGCTTTGCTGATCTGTAGCCTGTCTCATACTGAGTGTCAAAGAAGGAAGTAAACATCTTTGGCCAGATTTAATTTCTGACTGTGTTGGGAAGCGAAGTAACATGACGGGTGCAAGATACACAGAATGGAACATCGGGGCTTGGACCCACGTTCCTCATCTGTGAAGCCAGGGCGTTGCCTGAGTGGCCCTTAGGGTCCTTTCTGGCTCTAACGTTCTACACTTTTAGGTAAATTTTAATTCCTGATTGACATTTGGCTAAGCAGAAGACACCGGATTAGAGACCACCTATTACCATCTCTCTCTCTCTAGGGACGACCGGAGTGAGCACTGGCCTGGGAGTCTGAAGACTGTGCCTTCAGACCTACTTCGTCACTTACTAGCTGGCGACTTTGGTCAATCATCTAGTTTTTCCGGGCCTTATGTTCCTTATATGTGACTACTAAGAGGCTACTAGATTAGAGGATTACAGATCCTTCTGACTCTTAATTTCCAGTCGTCAGATTAAAAACAGTTTGCTAATGATGGCTATGTTAAAGAGCTCTGACCTTGGAGTCAGTTTATGGCTCCACATCCAAGCTCAGCCACTCACTAGTTTTGCTTTTCACCCAACCCCTCTATGCCTCGGTTTCCTTTTCTGTTAAATGGGGATGTCTGTTCTGTTTGCCTCAGAGGGTTTTGTAAAGATTAAATGTGTGTGGGAGGACTTTTTAAACTTTAAAGTGCTATATACATTTTAAGAGGTATTACTTACTGCTTCCGTTGTTGGTCAGCTGAGATAAATCTTCGGTGTTTCCTGGAGCCTGGCTCCGGAGTGAAGAAGGTAGCTTGGCAGTTGACTTTGAGTCCTCCCGTTTCGCTGGGCATTGGCAGTTCGGGGGGCAGAGCAGCCTTGGCATGCCGTGGGGTGGATTGTGTGTTTATAGAAAACTCTGGGACGTAAGCGAGGAAACGGGCCACAGCTCAGCGGAAGGGAGGCCGGTGGCGAGGATGGAATGGTGGAGAGGCAGGCTCAGGTGTGGCCTGCCAGGAGCTGCCTTCCCCACTTTTTTGGGGGGTAGGGTGGGGAAGAAAAGAGCAAATTGTTTAAAAATACACATGTATAGAAAATAGTAAAACTGTAAGGTTATCTGTGTATTATTGGATTCTGGGAAATTCATGTTTTCTCTATTCTCTGTATTTTCCAAATTTTCTATAATGAATATGTATTTCTTAGAATAAATTTTTTTCTTTAAAATTTGGAGGAAATCGCTTTTTACAAATGTGGGTTCATCTTTTTCTGCTTAACCTTTTTTTCTCATTTGATTAAAGAACTAATAAAAAATTGTTTGAAATTAGGATATGTCTTGTCTCCCAAATCAATGTTAGATTTCTGTGCTTTTTACATGCTTTCATAGTTTGAAGTGGATGGAATGTGGAAAAACATCTATTTAAATTCTTTGAATTTATTTTTTAAAAGTTGGAGTTTTAACTGGTTAAAATTTTTTTGAGCACATCAAAGTACTAAAAAATTAGCATGTACCCTAAATCTGTTTTATCACCCGTATTTCATTTAAAAAGCATCTTAAAAATAGGTTCTTACCATTGACCTGTAAGCTCTACTTCCAGGAATCCTAAGAAATAATTGGAGGGCGGAGCAGTGGCTCATGCCTGTAATCCCAACACTTTGGGAGGCCGAGGTGGGTGTCCACTGAGTACTTATAAGACCTTTAGCACTTGTTTAGGGAAGCTCCGTATGAGAAGGCGCCTGCTCAGGATTAACCAATGGAAAGCCGTAATCGGCCCACTGCTGTGGGTAAGGGCCAGTGGGGAGTGGCATCTCAAATGCCATTGGTGGTCAAGGCTGGGGAGGCAGTGAGGAGGATGAAGGCTAATTAGGGAGAAAGGATCTTCTCCACATGGAGACGGTTCTTGAGCTGGCCTTGAAGATGGGGAGGAGGCGGCTGAACCAAGGAAAAGGAACAACAGCCCGACTAAGGAGATGGAGGTGGCAGAGAGGTGGGTGTGCTCCTGGGCTTGACTGAAGTGAAGGCTTCATCGTAGTGAGTGCACTGGTGAAGTAAGCCCAGGACCAGATCATGGAGAACATTAAAGGCTGAACAAAGGAGTAGAGAGCTGTTGTCAGAAGAAATAAGATCTAATGCCAAGACCCTTTCATTCTCAGCAGATGAGCCAGAACTCTCTCTTTCACAGCTCAGCTGACAAACTCACCTGGAACTGCACCTGTCCTTTCTGCTACCTCAATGAAAGCATCTGTGGGTGAACCTCTGTACTTTCCACTGTGTGTATGAAAATGCCTTCCAGTTTTGACCATTTTAAACCATTTTTAGCATACAATCCACTGGCATTGTATTAAGTGGAACTTCACTCACAATGTTATACAACCATCACCACTATCTATTTCAAAAATTTCCTATCACTCCAAACACACTCTGTGCCCATTAAGCAATAACTTCCTATTCCCCACTCCTCCGACCCTGGGTAACGTCTCAGCTACTTCCTGTCTCTATGCATTTGCCTCCTTTACATGCCTCATGTAAGTGGATCATATGGTATTTGTCCTTTTGTGTCTGGCTAATTTCATGTAGCTTAATGTTCTCAAGGTTCATCCATGTGGTAGGATGTGTTAGAACTTTACTATTTTTATATCTCAATAAAATATTACATTGTATGGGCATACCACTAAAACATCCTTTTTAAATGAAACGGCCATAATAGAGGGTAGCCTTTCTTTGTTTTTTAATGATCTTATTTGAAAACTTAAAAGTTGTCAATCTTATTTCAGTGTTCCAGAATTTTTTTGAGTCTTTACATTTCAATCAAAGCAAAGTCAGGGGACCCACATTGTAGTGCATGTTGCATCCTTTGCAATGTTCTGGTTCCTTTTGGCACCATCACAAATGGTTTGTAACATGGATTCAGTTAGGCTCAAAGGATGCTCGCTGACAGCTGTCTTTTCACCTTATTCATATCTCTGGATAACATGGAATTTTCCATCATGAGAAGTACCTTTTCATTATTTCTTTTAATTGTAGAGCCTTGCACAGAAGTGAAACGATGCTTTTCTAATGTGATGCAATGGTAAGGCAGAGATGGGGAGAAAAGTACTTTACAACCAAATAAGCAGTGGAATGTGAGAAACAGTGAGAACAGGGGCCAGTTAGATTGGCTAAGTAGTGAACAGTTAGACCCCAAAGAATACTGTGCTCCACAGTGCTCCTAGCCAGCAGGCCTGGACTCTGGTGTGTTTCTTTATGAGGCCAGGGCTCTCATTAATAAAAGCAAGATCAAAATAGAAAGTTGGCAGTATTCCAACTCTGTGAATATAAAAATGGAGGGTCAGGGCCGGGCGCGGTGGCTCAAGCCTGTAATCCCAGCACTTTGGGAGGCCGAGACGGGCGGATCACAA